GGGTGCCCTGATGGCGGCTCTCCAGCCTCTGGAGGCAGGCAGAGTCCTGTCCTAACAGCCCAGTCTGTTCTCAGCCTGTAACCCTGTCCTCTGCCCCCTGTGGGCCCCTCACCTAAAGCCCTCCTCTTCCGTGGTCTGTCTGCTGCTATGGTCCTGTTCGCGGTGCTGCCCATCCTTCGCTCCAGCTCTTCCCAAAGTGCCGGCCACTTTGTGTTCCCCGTTTCCTACCTGTCAGATTTGGGTTTTTTCCCTTTCTACCAAGCTCATAATGTGTCCCAGGCCTGTGCTGAGCCCTTTGTGTGTCTCATCTCAGGAACTTTTCACAACAGCCCCATGCAGCCTTCTTACAGATGAGGAACCTCGCAGGGACAGTGTGTTTTGCGTAGACCCACTGGGCAAGCTAAGATACCGGCACCCAGGTCGGTCAGCCTCCAAAGCCCGTGAACTTAACCGCTCATTCATCCGTCCCTTCAATAATGGCCTGTTGAGTGCCTGCTGTGTAAACCAACCCAGACACGCTCCCCGCCCTCCGGGAGTTTGTGATTTGTGTGGGAGGCAGACAGTTGATCCTCTGGGTGGACGGAGAGGTCCAGCCTTGGGTGCTCAGCAGGGGGACGCCCGGGCTGCAAGCGCTCAGCTGCTTCCCCTGCGAGCGGAGGGGAAGTCTGCCATGCTGTTGGCAGGCCTGGACCTGCCCTGCCGTTGAGAGTGTAATTTCCTCTATTTCCTCACAACCATAAATGCAGATAAATGCACTGGTGCTTACGCTCCCCCGCTGGATCCTTGGATGCTTCTCCGCAATTAGAGGAGGAGGAGTGGGGGGCACACTTGGGTGCACACGTGTGAGATCCAGCGCATGGCAAACTGGGTCATTCTTGTCTGGCTCCTCTTGGAGGTGAAGCCACAATCACTAGCGGTCACGGGAAGTGAGCTGTAGATGGTGGAAACCGGGTCAGCTGTGGCTGTTGGGTTAGGAGCGTGGCTTGGGGGTCTGAATGCCTGCCCCGCCTGGGATGGAAGCCCGGTCTTGACTTACCCACTTTTAGCTCTGGTGCAGGTGATTTTACCTGCTTCAGTATCTCCGCTTCCTCAGTCCTCAAGGGCCACGGCAGAGAGTCTCTGCCTCAGACATGCGCTGAGGGCTCAGTGAGATTGTGGGCACAGAGCTCAGCTGGCAGCCCGCAGGTGCTTGATAAAGGGGAGCAGCACCAAGACGAGAGACCAGTTCACGGCTGCCCAGCTCCAGAGCTGAGAAGTGGGGTGGGCTCTCACCCTGCAGTGCCTGAGGCTTCTCATGGCCTTTTCCAGGGCTTTCCCAGCCCGCTGAGGAGGTGGTACACCCCCCACCAGCCACTCTGAACTCCTTCTAGGTTCCGCAAGCGACACGCAAGTGACAGGCCATCCCTCACGTCCTGCCTTTTGCGTGTTCTGTGCCCCCGGCATCTGGTGCTCTTGCCCTGACTCCTAGCTGTCCTCCAGCTCTCCTGCTTTCATGCTGCTTCTTCAGAGAAGCCTGGCTCCTTTCCACTCTGCCACACTCAAGGCTTCCCCTGGGCGAATACGACTCAGCCTCAGCTGTACTTGTTCAGCAGCTGTCTTCCCTGCTGGGCAGCAGTGACAGATGTCTGACTTCTCTAAGGTCCCCCAAACCTAGCACAGGGCTTGGAACAAAGCAGGTGCTCAAATATTTGTTGAATGCGTCAGTCTGGGCCTGGAGGGTGGGGGTTAGGACTGGAATGGAGAGGCCACTGAAGCATGGAAGTTGGCGGGCAGCGGGGGTGGGGAGACATTCTAGTAAAGAGCCAAGTGTAGTCATGTGGTGGTCGAAGTGATAATCCATACTTGTCTGAGTGTTTGCTGTATGACTTACAAGTATGCAAGTACTGTTTCATGTGCATGATCTCACCTGAGCCTCATGACATGTCTGTGAGGTCGCCTCCCTTTTACAGATGGGAAGGGAGAGAGGTGCAAAAGGGAAGTCGCTTTCCTGTGGTCACCCAGCAAAGGGTTTGAACCCAGGCAGGCTGACACTTCAGAGCTCACAGACTTACTCAATTCTGGGTGGCTGCCTGCTTGTACAGGGTCAGCGAAGAGCCTGTCTGGCTGATTCAAGGGTGCTGGGGGAGGGTGTGCCTGCGATGCCTGTGATGGCGGTGGGAGATTGAGAGAGGGTATATCTGGCCAGACTGGGGAGGCCTTGAATGCCAGGGTGAAGCGTCTGGGCCTCTGATGTAACAGCTGCCAGTTCTTGATCTGCCTACTACTTTATTGAGCCATTTAGTGTTTACAACTACCCTGTGGGTTAGATGTTATTTTCGCCCCAGTTTTACAGATGAGGAACTGAGACATAAAGAAGTTCTAGTAACTTGCCCAAGGTCATACGTCGAGAAAGTGGCAGAGCTGGGATCTGTACCCTGTGCATCAGGCCCCAGGGTCCTCTGGGGCCTGCCCATACTGCCTGCCTCTATGAGGTTGAGCCAGGGGAACCTCTGCTGCTCCTGACATGGGTCTCCCCACCCTCACCCTCTCCTTCACCCTCACCCTCCTCTCTCCCCAGCACCCCCAGAGGCAGGAGCAGCAGCACTTTCCATCCCTGGATGACAAGCCCCAGTTCCCCGGGGCCTCGGCGGAGTTTGTAGACAAGCTAGAATTCATCCAGCCCAATGTCATCTCTGGGATCCCCGTCTATCGCGTCATGGACCGGCAGGGCCAGATCATCAACCCCAGCGAGGATCCCCACGTGAGAGGCCCCCTCCTTCCCACCCTGTGCCTCCCACACCCAGGCCCCTTGTCCATCTCCTCTCTGGTCCCACCTGGCCTACATCTGTCTGTGCCTCCACCTGCAGCTGCCCCAGGAGACGGTGCTCAAGTTCTACAAGAGCATGACTCTGCTCAACACCATGGACCGCATCCTCTACGAGTCCCAGCGGCAGGTGCGTGGAGACAGGCTGGGGAGGGAGGCTTGGAATTACCTGAGGTCGCCCTGCCTGTGTTCGGGCCAGAAGATGACTCCCAAGGAGGAGAGGGTAGAATAGAGATCCTTTGTCTTGGAGTCCTTAAAGTTGTTGGGGTTCTCTCTTGGTGTTCTGGAGGGAGAGTGTGGGAAGGGTACTGCCCACGGGCAGAAGGATGGACCAGATCACTAAAAATACCTCCTGTGCACCTGGCTGGTGGCCTGGCTGTGCCAAGAGAGTACAGGCAGAGAGTACCTGATGGGCCTTCCCCTTGGGAGCTCACAGCCCTGAGAAACAGGGTGACCCTCTGTGCTTCCTGGTTTGCCTGTGTCAGATGTGCCGTGAGCCTCAGCAGTGTTTGTGTCAGTGGGCAGAGACCCAATCAAAGCAGTGTTAACAAAGAGGCAATTTATTGACTCAAATAATTTCCAAGTTCAGAAGGTCTGGTTTCAGGCACAGCTGGATCCAGGGGCCTCGATGTTCTCAGACCCATTTCTTTTCTCCCAGTGTCTTTTCTACTCTCTTTCACCCTGGCTTCCTTCATTATTAGGCAGCAGTCGTTTCTGAAGGTTTAGGCTTGAGGAGAAGTGGCAGAGAAGGGATCAGGGGGTGGGCTCTGGAGCAGGACTGTGCAACCAATGTCTTCATCTGTCACTCTGTGGCTCTGCGGCCCTGGGAAAGTTGCTTAATCTGTCAGGTCTTCAGTTTTCTCGTCTGTACTTACTTCATGCCATTGGCTTAAGGATTGACAGTGGCACATGTGATGGCCTTAAAAAGAGTGAAACTGACGTTCAGCCAGCACTCAGTAAATATTAGCTTTATCGTATATCATAACCCTGCTTATCATAACCCTGTCAGCCTCACAATGATTATCCTCTCTGCTGAGCAGTGGAAAGAGAGTGTCTGCTCCCTAATGTTCCAGCAAAAGTCCAGGGCCAATGTTCACTGTCTGGGCTTTGGTCACAGACCCTGCCTTCAACCAGTCCCCAGCCAGGAGGACCATGCTCTCATCCCCAGGAACCAAGTGAAGAGAGCAGTGGAATCCGTCCTTCCCAGGGCTCTGGGGTTCCTGTTGGAAAGGGGGAGAAGAATGGTGGGTGGTGGGCCTTTGTGCTGGGTCAGGGGCAGGGGTGGGCTTGAGAGCCTGCATTTATGTTAAGCCCCCAGGCCGTCCCCCTGTGGACTAAAGCATAAGGCCCACTGTTCTGTAGGACAGGACCGAGCAGACTCTCCCACTCTCCCACTCACAGGGCACTGGGTATGGGTTCTCCAAGGCAGAGTAGTAAGTACCTTTGCCCTGAAACCTGCCCAGAAACTTCCCTGGGCTCCCCCAGCCCACAGGGTCAGGTCTGGCCCTTCCTGTTCCACTGTGGCCTCGCTCCCTCTCTGCTCCCCTCTCCACAGCCTTACTGCCGGGCCAGGCCATCCCTCCCCTGCCTCAACGTGCCTGGGTCCCTTCATGCCTGTGTGGGCTACATAAACAGGGGCTTTGGAATCCAGTGGATGTGGGTCCAATCAGAGGTGTGACTTTGGGCAGGAGATTTTTCTTGTCTTTGCCTTAGTTTCTTCAGTATATTAAAAAGGGGGGATGGCAAGGTTGGGGCTATCAATCCTCACTTCTGTGAGGCCCAGCGCATAAAGCCCCTTGGCCATTGACTGCCACAGAGAAGGCCTCAGTAAGATCAACTCACCCGTCAAGGCTCAGCTTGTGCTAGCTAGGCTTCCGTTGAGCTGTAAGTACCAGACTTCCCCAGGCCCTTCCCACCCCAGTCCCAACAAAAACAAATGCAGTAGTTTAAACAGATTGCTAGGTTTTCCATCTTGCATCAAAGAAGTCTAAAAACAGGTGGTCTGGGGCTGGTATGGTGGCACCATGATGTCACTGGATACCCAGCTTTGGCTTCTAGGGCCCTTCATGATCCAAGTAGCCACTGGAGCTCCCTCCATCCCACCTCATTTTAGGCAGGAAGTGGAAGGAAAGTGACAGGTCAGACGTGGCGTATCTCAGCTGTCTTCCCATACCCACCTTTCTAGAACTTTGCAGGCAGCCCCACCCAGTAGCATCTGACACTGCATAGGTTGCTCTCAGCTGCAAGGAGGCCGCACTGTGGTCTCTTCATCTGGGCGGTTGCTGCCTGTGGAATGAGATCTCTGTTAACAAACAGGAAGAGGGATAGGATACTGGGTAGGCAACCAGCGACCTCTGCCACTCGCCAGGCCCTGTTTTCCTGGATGGGAGGGTGCGCAGGCTCCTCCCCACACCACCCTTGACAGCCCTCCCAGGCCTTCAGCACCCAGCATCTGCCCACTTGGCTCTGGGAGGCCCATTAACTTTTAATTGGCTCCCCACTTAGAAGAAAGCACTAGCACTATTCATCTGTTCTCCCGCCATGACAGGAAGCCAGGCCTGCAGAACGCATGAGGACTGGGCGGTGGCCGTCCCTCGCGTCCCGGCGTGAGCTCTTTCACTTTACACGTGGTCCTGGGGAGCTCAGTTCTGTCTGTGTGCCAGGGGTGCCCCAGATCGCCAGCCAGACTCTACCTCGTAGCCCCAGATCTACTTGGCTTCTTGCCTGGGATGTCCCACACCAAATTCAGCCTGTCCAGACATGACCTCGGCATCTTCCTCCCTCAGGCCACTTCTCAGTGGAGGTTGCCGCCACCCACCATTTGCCCAAACCAGAGACCTGCATCTCATCCCTGCTCCTTTCTCTCCACCCCGCCATCACTTTCTCCTGTCTCATTTACCCTAGAAATCCATTCTGCTGCTCAGCACCGTGTCAGGAAGCCAGACTTCCTACCTTTCTGCTCCCCCATCGTGGGCGAGTTGGCTTTCATTCTGCACTTATTGCCTCATTTTCGCAAGACGGCTGCCACAGGTCTGGCCTCATGGCCGTGTGCAGGGCGGGAAGAAGGCCTGGCTGTAGCTCCCGTGGGCCCTTTTGTCGAGAAAGCAAAAGCAGACTTCTTAAGTCTCTGTCTGGATCTGTGTCCCGTGGTCACCTCTGTAGGGGAGATTGGGAACCTGGCTTTTCCAGGCTCTAGGGTTGGGGGGCCCAGGAGAAAGGAGCCGGCCAGGGCATCGGTGTGGCCAGCCTGTAGGGTCTGTCGCTCCCTGGCACTCTGACTCTGCTTCTTAAGGCTCGCCCAGCCCCTCCTCTGCCTGCCCCCTGCCCCTCCCGGGCCACCGCCCCCTCTGGCCTGGCTGGCTGCACTCTGTCCTGTCTCCACCATCCGTTTTCCACATGGCAGCCAGAGAGACCTTTCTAAAATGTTGCTCCCTTGAGAAGAACCGTGGGTACGGTTCTCAGGGTAAAGTCCAGGATGCGGATCATTCACTATGGTCCTGGGCACTGCCTCTCCCTGTTGGTCTGTCCCCACCCCTCCCACTTTCTGCCCCAGCCATTCTGGCCTCATGGCCTTTACTGTTCCCTCTGCCTGGAAACCTCACCTTTGCTCGGCTCAGGCATTTGACCCTGAGGCCCCTCTGTGGTGAGCCAGACAACCGGCTTGGCCTCCTATCGCATGGCCCTGTTGCTCTGGCTTCAAGCAGTCTGGCAGTCCCTCCAGGAAGACAGGAACTCTGACCTGTCCTGGCCCAGGAAGCGTGTGGTGATTAATGAAGTCTCCAGAAGCTGGTCAGTTATCTGGATGGTTCCCTGTCATTGCCCAGCATAACTGAGCCCGGGCCTCCGGGCCCTCCTGCACCCCCAGGGCCGGATCTCCTTCTACATGACCAACTATGGCGAGGAGGGGACACATGTGGGGAGTGCGGCAGCGCTGGACAGCACGGACCTGGTGTTTGGCCAGTACCGGGAGGCAGGTATGTCTGCCCTGCGGAGCAGATGCTGGGGCCCTGGGTCTGTGGTCCCCATGGAGGCAAGTCAGGCCCAGTCCCTCCCGGTGGGAAGGCGAGGCCCACGTTAGCTACCCTGTGTGCTCTTCCAGGAGCAGCGTGATGCCAGGGAGGTCTAAGGAGCTGGAGGAAGAGCTTTCTGAGCAGGAATGAGCCAAGCCAGGGGCAGGAGTTTGTGGGGCTGTCTGGAGTCCAGGCAGTGTTGTAGTGAAGAGCCCGTGCTCCCGACCGCTCCGTGCCCTGCTGGTTACCAGCTAGCAGATTTGGGGCAAGTTGCTTCTCTTCTGGGAGCTTCCATTTTCTGGTCTCCAACGCGGAGTTAATGACGGTACTGCCACCCCTGCCCTGAGGGATACAAGCAGTGTGCAGTGACGGCAGCCTGACTACAGGTGGACACGCACAGGGACCCCTGTCCACAGCACGGGACTCTCTTGGCCTCTCCAGGCTCTGTGTCCTTCAGGGAGCAGAGCAGATGGGAGGGCCTGGAAGTGCCAGCCAGGAGCTGGCACCCTTCTGAGCGAGTGAGTGACAGGACGGAAGGAGCTGAGAGATGAGGTGGTGAAGTACCCTCACGGGGTGAGGCCCCTGAGGAAGGTCCCGCCTGGACAGCGGCAGGGGGTGCGTGCTCAGTGGGGAGGGAGCCACACAGACCTGCACCCGGTCCCGCCTCTCTCAGTCCCCACCTGGAGGTGGGGAGAACGAGGATGCTCACAACAATAGCTGACACTCACTGGGGTCTTAAAGGCCAAGGTGCTGTTCCACGTGCGGGAAGCAGTGGAGGCTCGACCTCATTTCACCTGCCCCGACCCCACTGCAGGAAGGAGTCCCCCGGCAGCCGTGTTTCCTGTCTGTGCCAGGGCGTAGGAAGCCGAAGAGGCTGAGTCCCCGTGCCCAGGCCACACGCCTCCTGAGGAGGGGAGCAGGGGTCTCCCGGAGTCAGCCCTCGCTCCTCCGCCCCGGCGCTGCCCCCCGTGGTGCTGCCCACGCAGGGCTGTCTGGTATAAACCAAGGGTGCGTGTGGTGTGCGGACTGTGGCACCGGGCTCATAAAAAGGATCTTAGAGGCGGCACGTGTCCGTCTAGCGCAGTAACTGCCACTGGACCTGGGGTTTCCTGGTGCGGAACCACCTGGGCCCAGGAATCTGGATTCACACTTCCCGCCGGCTCCTGCCCCAGACTGCGGGTGCTCCCGGGGTGGACTGTGGACCCTGGACCACGCTGTGGGGAAGCCCCCCGCCACACACAGCCCCCTTTTTCTGCTTCAGCGGAGCGCCTCCTCTTTGATCTGTTTTAGGTACAGCGTGGCCACACTGGGTGTGAATTTGTGTTGTGTGACAGAATCCCACATCCAGTTACGTGAAAGGTGAAGGCTAAAGTCTTCCCAAATACCCTCACCCCAACTCTCATTTTGGGTGGCGTACTTGCAGAGCTGGTTGTCCGGGCCACAGTCACCGTGTCTCGACGGTGGCTCCCCGTTAGCAGATAAACAGACAAGCCCCCCGCCGCCCTTCCTCAGGCTCCGTGCTGAAGTGTGAGCCATGTAACATACTAGCGCTCCAGCCCGCTGGTTATGGGAGCTCTGCCTACCTCAGTGTCCTCATCTGTAAATGGGGAGAATAATCCCACTTCCCTCGGAAGGTTGTCGGGAGGATTGATCAAGTTAATGTCTGAAAAGTGCTCCAAATAAAGGCACTTGGCACCAAATATTATATTCACGTGGCAGTTATTTGGGGAAGCTGTGCTTAACGCTGCACAAAATGTGACTCCCGTGGTATGTGATCCCCAGTAAGTTGTCAGACGAAGAAAGGGTTCTGCAGTAAAGAAAAAGATTCGGAAATGCATGTACCACCTCTACTCTGTAATGCTCAGGTTCTGGGTGCTTCCAGGGAGGTCCTTGATCCCCAGGGCTGCCCCTCAGGTGTGGGTGTGACAATCATTCCCCTTTTCAGGCGCCAGAGTGGGTCGTTGCTCATCCCAGGGCCATCTCCACCCGCTCCTGTCCTCTGAGTTAGCAGTCAAGGCCCCCTTCACCCAGAGCGGTTCCGTTTGGTGGTGAGGTTTTGTTGGAAGAAAGGATTTTACAGCCATAAACATGTTTGAGTATTGGCTCTTTAGTTCAGAAGTTGTGACCTAGTGTGACAAATAGTATTATTTGGTTCGTATGACAATTTATCAAGTAATTTTATTAGTTGAAACATAAAAATCAGGCATTTTCTCCTTAAAAAAAAAAATAAAAGTAAGCCAGATTTTGCCTTCTTTTGAAGAACTGGGCCATCTGGCTTCCCTGAGCAGTAGTCAGATGGTCAGAACAGTGGCCTCCCTTTTGGGACAGGCCTGTGCTTTTTTGTCCGCTCACCTGCCTGGTCCCCACGAGCATTCGACTCTGCCTCCCCTGCTTGCATCCATTTCCCTGACTGTCTTTATAGGGAGCAGGAGCCCGGGCAGGAAGGGCCGGTCTGCCCCCCACCCCGCCTGCAGGCTCACACGGCCTCCTCCTCGCCAGGTGTGCTAATGTACCGGGACTACCCCCTGGAGCTGTTCATGGCCCAGTGCTATGGCAACGCGAGCGACCTGGGCAAGGGGCGCCAGATGCCCGTGCACTATGGCTGCAAGGAGCGCCACTTCGTCACCATCTCCTCGCCACTGGCCACGCAGATCCCGCAGGGTGAGGACTTGGCCCGGGCCTGGTACGCACAGACCAGCGTCGGACCCCTGCGCAAGCCCCAGCCCTTCTGCAGCCCTTGTGGGCAGCCTTCCGGTTGGTGCTGGGGTCGGAGCGCTGGTCCGGGCTGCAGACTTTCCAGATACTCTTCATCTGGTTGTCTTCAGAGGAGGGCTCCGGTTTGGCAGGTTTGAGCTGGCATGGCCACCACCCTCTTGATTCCCCACACGTGTGCCTGTCCCGTTTGTCCGCTCAGCAACAAACAACACTGTGTGACTGAGTGGGCACCAGCTTCCTGCCAAAGCATCGTCTGGCAGGTAGCGAGAAGAGCAGGGACTCCGAGTGTGGATCTGTGGCGCCAGAGCTGGGTTCTTGGCCCCAGCCCTGCTCTGCCTCACTCCTCCGAGCCTGACTCTCCTGAAGCTTACTCTGGAGGCCCATGGTGCCTAGAGTGGTCCGAGTTGCTTTTGTCAGAGGTGACAGCTGAGAAGCAGACCCCTCAGGGGCCAGGCCTGCACCCACACAGCACAGAGACCATGGGACCCAGCCTCGCTCCCTGCCCTCTGGACCCTACAGTCTGGCCGAGGGCCAGGCTAGGCCGCGGCTCTCTGCTCCGAGGTGGCCAAGATACATGCGTTGGTGTGTCGGTGGGGCTTAGCAGTGGGCTGGTTGGCAGACCCGTCCAGATGTGTTGGCTCCTGGTGCTCTGTGTGAGGAGCACGAGTGGGAAGTGGGCAGAGTGGCTCTGTGAGAGGAGGTGGCACGTTCCCTCCAGGTGGGCAGGGTTTCCGTAAGGCTGGGCCCTGGCCCTTACCTTCCATTTGAGTACTGTTAAGCCGCCCAGCGGCCACACGTAGGAAGTCTCTGCTACGTGGGCACCATTCTAGGCACAGTGAGCCAGAGACAGAAACCTCAGTCCCGCTGGGGCTGACACCAGGGTAGAGGAAAGGAGACAAACAGTAAGCATGAAGGAGTAGCACGAGAAGTGCATCGGGTGAGGAGTCCCGCAGGGACAACTAAAGCCAGAGGGAGTGGGTGTGAGGGAGGAAGGCCTGGGTTGCATCAGAGGTGACATTTCAGCACAGACTGCGGTGGGGGTAGGGGGAAGGGAGCCATGTGGGATCTTGAGGCAAGTGCCTGCTGGACGGCCTGCTTGCTTGCGGGGCAGGTGTAAGAGAGGTCTGGAGGGGCTGGGGAGCTGCGGGGAGGGTGCAGATCCAGGGGAATCTGGGCCTTTGACTTTTGCCTGGAGCGGAAGGGGGGCCGCAGGGGGCAGGGCGAGAGTCGCTGGGGTGGAATGTCGGCCTGGTTCACATTTTAACTGACCTCTGGCCGCCCCAGGGGAGCAGGTGGGAGCCAGCGGTGGGGTGGGGCGCCAGTGAGGAGGCTGCTGGGAGGCTGCAAGAGGTGACTGGGTGGGCATTCTGCCCTGAACAGGCGGGAAGGGGTCAGATTCTAGCTGTGTTTTGAAGGTAGCAGTGGTGTGGGTAATGGCACATCTAGGAGTCAGAGAGGAGGCCGCCCAAGTGGAAGGACAGGGCGGCCCTCGGCTGAGAGGCCAGAGCCTGGTGGGGGCAGTGTGTGGCTCTGCCCCCGCTCAGCCCCCTCTCCCCCTGCAGCGGTGGGGGCGGCCTATGCGGCCAAGCGTGCCAACGCCAACAGAGTGGTCATCTGTTACTTCGGGGAGGGGGCGGCCAGCGAGGGGGATGCCCACGCCGGCTTCAACTTCGCCGCCACCCTCGAGTGCCCGGTCATCTTCTTCTGCCGGAACAACGGCTATGCCATCTCCACGCCCACCTCTGAGCAGTACCGCGGGGACGGCATCGGTATGGGCCTGTGAGCTGCGCCCCCACCTGCTCTCATGCTCCGCCCCCCCCGCCCCGCCCAGTCCTTTCCCTGTGGAGTCTGGCACAAGGGTGGTCGCAGGGACGCTGTTTTGCTTGCTCCCCTCTCCTTCCTCCCCCCTCCCCACTCTGTTCATCTGAGCCCTGGGGCCTGACCTGCCTCTGTCCCTACAGCTGCTCGAGGCCCGGGCTACGGCATCATGTCCATCCGCGTGGACGGCAACGATGTGTTTGCCGTGTACAACGCCACCAAGGAGGCCCGGCGGCGGGCCGTGGCTGAGAACCAGCCCTTCCTCATTGAGGCCATGACCTACAGGTGCCTGCCTCCTGTCCTCCCCACTGCCTTGACAGCATCTGCCCTGCACTGGTCACTGTCCCCAGAGCATGACCCCATCACCCACGCTGGCTCCCCGTCCTTGCCTTTGTTCCAGTGCCGGCCCTTCTCCCCTAGTCCGCCCCCCTCCCTCCTGAACCCACACCAGGAGGCTTCAACCTGACCCTGGGCTCCCTCCCGCTGGCAGGATCGGGCACCACAGCACCAGTGACGACAGCTCGGCCTACCGCTCGGTGGACGAGGTCAATTACTGGGACAAGCAGGACCACCCCATCTCCCGGCTGCGGCACTACCTGCAGGGCCGAGGCTGGTGGGACGACGAGCAGGAGAAGGCCTGGAGAAAGCAGTCCCGCAAGAAGGTGGGGACCCCCCTCTGTTGGAACCCAGGCCCCGGTGTGGGGGGCGGGGGGATGTTCGGGGGTGGTGCCTGGGTGAAGAACTCTGGAGGGATGGAGAGGCTGGGTTTGGGGGACATTGAACTGGGAGACTTGGGGACAGCTCCAGGGATGTCTCTAAGCGTGGCCTGTGGCGTCAGGCTGCCTGGGCACATGCGTTTCTACTGTGTCCTTGGTATGATGTCTGCCCTCCACGCCCTCCTATCTGAAGAGCGACACTGGGGTGTCGCTGTCAGAGGGTGATTAAGATTAGGTGACTTAATCCATGTGCACTGTGAGCGTCCCACTCGGGTCCAAGTGCCGCCCTCCTCGGCCTGGGTGTCTGGAGCCAGGGCTGTGTGCCCAGTGGTAAGGGCAGACCCTGGCCCGGGCCCTGAGGACATTGTCGTGGCGTACCCCCTCTTCTCCATGCCTCGGTTCCCTCCCCTCTGAGCTGCCTACTGCCTGGTTCTGCCTGTGCCAAGAGGCTGAACCGATTCCTGTACTTCGTGCAGCGCCTGGTCTTGCCGGGGAGGGGAGGCCGGGCTTGGGGGATGTTGATCTGGCTGCTGGTTCTTAGCACTATTGGGTCTTCATCTCCTCCGTCGTCCAGATGGGAAGGCAGCAGCTCAGTGGGGGTTGACCCCTCAATGGGGTCCCACAGGTCGGGGGTGGGGAGCCGGCTGCCTGTCTACTGTCCCACGTCCCTCCACAGGTGATGGAGGCCTTTGAGCAGGCGGAGCGGAAGCCGAAGCCCAACCCCAACCTGCTCTTCTCTGACGTGTACCAGGAGATGCCGGCCCAGCTTCGCAAGCAGCAGGAGTCCCTGGCCCGGCACCTCCAGGCTTACGGCGAGCACTACCCCCTGGACCACTTCGAGAAGTGAGGCCCGCTTGCCCCAGCCCACCCCCACCCACCTCAACTCCCCCGAGGGGCAGCCCCATTCTGGGGGGTGCCCAGGGAGCTGCAGGATACCACCCTGCTTCCCCAGCCAGCCCCCTCTGAAATACTGGGGCCGGGACTCCAGCCAACCATCTCCACTCCTCCAGGCTGTCACCCTGGGTGGGGGTGAGGGGGCTCCGTCAGCCCCCTCCTCGCCTGTTACAGTGCCTTCTCCCAGGGGCTGGGCCAGGACGCCTCCAGGACTAGAAGCCCCTCTGGGGTGGGCGTGGCGGGTCAGCCTGTGGAAGTCACTCCCTCAAAGTGAGAGGTGGTCAGCAGGTGGCCAATAAACTCTCTGTGTTTGGCTCTGTGCCACTGCTGGTCTGTTTCCTGGAGTTTGGGAGGTGGGAGGAGAGCCCAGCATGACTAGTTTGGGACCTTGTTTCTCCACTCTAGATAAAGAAGGCCAGGCTGTTGAGATATCTACTTCCCCCGGAAACTTTAGCAAGCGGAGGGTCCGTATCCGCAGACAGGGTGGGGGTGGGGTCCTCCAGAGATGGTCTCTTGTTCTCCCCTAGATGGGACAAGACTGCTGTTCAGCAAAGTGACCATGAGGCTGGCAGAGCTGGCCCTGCCCAGTAAGGGTGGGGAGGGGTCCAGTGTGAATGCCGGGGTGCAGCTGGGCTCTGCTCTGTCAACTACTCTGGGGCCCCACAGGCGCAAAGACCACTCCAGGCCTCAGAGTGGGGAGTGCGTGTTTTTCAAACACAAAAAGTAGACACAAACAGTCTGTTCCCTCCGGCTGCCCCGTCCCCTGGCCCGGGAGGACCTAGGAGGGGCTCAGGCAGTCACGGTTCTAGAATTCCTCCTTCACGCTGAGGCCCGGAAGGAGAGGCTGAGTGAGAGACCCAGGTCTGTGCTGCCCTCCTCTCCTCAGCTCCGCCAGGCTCAGCACTGGAGCTGAGGCTCCTGCAGCTGTTTCCAGAGCCGAATGCTACCCTGGGGGCTGAGGGGCCGCACCAGCAGCAGGTCCCGGAGAGCACAGGCTTCAGCAGTGCGGTCTGCTGGCCAGGCTGTGAGGAAGCCTTTGTGGTCCCTTGGTGCCAGGCCCAGGGCCCGGAAGCACAGGCCAGTGTAGACATCGTCGAAGGGGAAGGGGGCCACACGGGCCGCTGCCCGCAGCAGCCAGGGTGCCAGGCGCCCAGCAATGACATAGCCGCCGCCACTGGCATAGGCCGGGTATTCACCTTTAAAGAAGGATCTAGGCACGTAGAAGGGTCCTCTGGGCTTCCGCAGGGGTCTGGCCTGGGTAAAGACCTCACCCAGGTAGAGGCTTCGGGCCCATCTAGGGGGCAGGGCCCGCAGGTGCTCCAGAAGGGCCCGTGTGTGCACGAAGGCGTCATCCTGAGCCTGCAGGACGAAGCTCACGCCCGGGCAGTGTCGGTCCAGCCAGGCCAGCAGCAGCAAGTCTTTGAGCGTCCGATTGAAGGGGACGTCGAGGAAGTCCCAGAGTAGCAGGTCACTGTAGCGGCGACTCTCCCAGGCCACCAGGGAGCTTAGGTCAGGCCCCCTCTCACCCTCTGGTGACCCGAGCAGGAAGAGCAGCCGGACCCCAGGAACCGGACTGCCCCACGTCTCCCTCACGGCCTGTCGCTCTGCAAAGCGCCCTGGCTCCGACTTGATGGCCAACAGAAGGTAGGGGACGTCCGTACCTGAGCAGTCGGCCACTTGGCCGCCACCACTTCTAGGCAGCCACTGGGGGAAATTCCGGCAGGCCGCCGACAGCAAGAAGCGGCGGAGGTCCTTGGGGTAGGAGGCGAAGTCTGGGATCTCTGCAGCAGCGGCAGCCCCCCAAGCCCGGCAGCCCCCTGCCTCAGCGCTGTCCCCACTGGGCAGGGACCCCAGCCGCCACTGCTGCTGGTTCCAGTATGCAGAGAGCAGCGGGCTGGTCTGGCCCAGACGGGCAGAGAGGTTAGCCGGCAGGGTGGGCTCGGGGGTGGCTGGTGTGGGGCCCAGTGGGGTGCCCTGGGGTCCCCGGTAGGCCTTGCTTAGCCAAGACTCAGATGTCCACTCGATGTACACCTTGAGGCCCAGGAGCGTGAGCAGCGCTGACAGGCAGAGAAGGCACTTGGGGCAGCGCATGACCCAGCCCAGGGAAGGGGCGGCCGCGGGAGCTGTAGAGGAGCCACGGTTGGTTGCGTCGGGGGTCAGTCCCTGCCAGCCCCTGTGCCCGCTCCCCTCAGCCCCAGACCCTGAACCCGCCCACCTCTTCCCTATTTCTGACCTTGGAATCCAGTTCCCATTCGTTCTGACACCCTGCTCTTTCCCCTGAGCCCAGCCCCTTCCACTGACCTGTTCTGCAGGCAGCAGCCCCCCCCCCCCCCCCCCCCCCCCCCCCCCCCCGCACTGGGGGATTGGGGACTTGGCCTTTCCAGCCCCCCTTGGTCCACTCACCAGGCGCCAGAATCACGGGGTCAGCCCTTCCACCTCCTGGAAAGCCAGCCTCCCTCACCCTAACATTCCCCACCCCAGGGAAGGGGAGCCAGCGACCTTTTACCTCTGGGTCCAGCTCCCGCCTGCGCCGGTCCGGGCCTCAGCTCAGGCCCTCCCTCGCTCCCTCCCTTCAGCTCTCGCCAACCTGCGGTGCAGCCGTCTGAGCCCAGCCCAGCCAGTCCGGAGAGGCGGGGAGGGAGGCCTCAGGGCCCCAGGGGCCGGGAGGGGCCGGGGCGGGGCCGAGGGAGGAGAGGAGGGGAGGGGAAGGGAGGGCAGGAGGCCGACCTGAGGGATGGGGCTCTGGCGTGTTGGGGCTGGTTTTCTGGTGAGACAGCGGAAAGGTTCAGGGTGGCCAAAGACACAGATGGGGGACCTGGCGAGGCCAGGCAGGGAGAGCCAGGGGCCTGGGAGAGTCTGGGGGTTAGGGGCTGAGGCTGAGGGCCAGGCCTGAGCTTGAGCTGGGTAGTGCCGAGATGGCCCGGGGACAGGCAAGAGTCCCAAAGTGGCAGAGCTGGGAGGGGAGGCGGGCGGCTGGCGCCCGGCCGCAGAGGCGGCGGGTCGTGCTGAGGGGATGGGCCGTCCGTGCCGGAGATGGGGTGTGTTGTGGCCACCGGAGGAGTCGGGGTGGGGATGGGGAATGGGCCGGGTTGGTGGAGGAGGAGGGATGGGGGAGACCTCAGGGGCAGGCGGGGGAGGAGAAAGGAGAGATGGAGGGGGAGGCAAAGAGCAGAGGACTGCAAGGGGAGAGGCAGGGGAGGGACGTGGAGACCGGGAGTGAGGTACAGGGTAGCCAGGTGCCCCTGGCGGGAAGGGAGAGAGCAGAGGCAGATGGAGGACCCTGGGGTGGGACCAAGAAGAGGGCGCCTGCGGACAGCCAGAGCCCGGGGAGAGGTGGAGAAGGGAGCTAGGGAGGAGCAGGAGGGGACCTGATGGAAAGGGAAGGGGTGGGTGAAGGGGGAGCCAAGCTAGAGGCCAGTGGAGGGTGGGGTGAGGGCACCCGGGGCCCTGGTGCTCAGCTGCCCCGGTACCTCCTCCACCCCTTTGGTGCCTCGGGTCTGCCTCACGGGGGCGGGATCCATCCCTCCCCCATTCCCCACTCCAGCCCCACCCACAGCTGCACCGTGACTCCAGGAACACTCACATCCGGCCCCCCGGGACAGGAGAGGGTGTCTGCCTGTGTTTACGTCCCTGCCCTCCGGGGGCCTCTGCTGTTGGGGCTGCTGCAGCTGTCTGGGGAGGCGGGCAGACGAGGTCTCCTTAGCCCAGACCTCCTGGAACCTTGGGTGGCACCGAGGGCCCCTCTGAGCTCGGCCTGACCCCCTTCACTCCACCCTGGATTGGGAGGACCCTCTGATGTCTCCTCCTCGGCACCCTGTCAGCAGCAGCGGATCTGTCCGGAGCTGATCGCCTCCCCCTAAGTCTGAGTAATGGAGCCCGCGGGAGCCGCTGGAGGCCAAGCGCACAGAGGAAGTTTGTGCCGAGTGTTGATGCAATGAAAGCCAGAGTGGGAGAAGACAGCCAGGGGCAGGGCCCTGAGCGCCCTGGAAGGGTCTCCCCAGCAGGCCTCCCCCACCCCCACCCCCACGCGGGGCTGGGAGAAGAATCTAGCTTCTCCCAGGGGTGAGAGGTCCTGCCACCAGGGCTGACGCTGCTCCTCCTGGGGGGTGATTGGAAATCTCAGAGTACAGCGTTGGTTGTTAATGGAACTGGAACAGGGAAAGTCCATCGAAAGTCCATCGTGGAGAGTGAAGAGCTGCCTTCCTGTGGAACACAGTGCTGGGGGGAGGTTGCAGGTCAACCATGAGCAGCCCGGTCCAACACCAACCTCCCTCAGCGCTGGGTCCCCCCCCTCCAGATTACGTCAGGGCCTCTCTGGCTTCTCTCCTAACTGCAGGCCACACTGGAGTCCAAGTTCCAGTCAGCCGACCGGAGAGAGCCCTTAGAACCACCCAGCTGTACTAGCTAACTCATCACTTCTAGTAAGTGCCCACGGACCCGTGAACTTGGCCCATCTGTGTGATATCCACCGTCACTGGTCTAACACCCTTAGACCCCGGTGTCCCACGGTTTCTGACTACATGTTTGCAAATCTTGCAATTCTTCTCGTGTAGAAAGCTGCACGCCCTGGGTCCCGGCGGACGTCTGCACTCTGGAGGGCAGAGATTTGACCCTTGGTATTTGTGGGTCCGGTGATAGCAGGGGTGCTTGTGAGGAGTCTGCGGGGGCGTAGATGCCTGCTTTCAAGGCCTCTGCTTGGGTGAGGTGAGCATAGGGTTGTTAAGCACGGGAAGGCTGCTGGGCTCCTCGGACATTGGGAAGGGAAGCTCTAGTGACTTGGGAGCGTGAGATCATCTGTCTCCTCTGATTCCAACCAGACGGCCCCATTCCAGATTTTGGGTCCCTCGCGTACCAGTCAGCACCCACGCTTGCACATAAGAAACTTGTCAAGGCTGGGAATCCAACCGTCGTAACTCGACAACCCACAGACTTCTAGGTTGTGTTTTCAGTTCTGGCCACCTGCTGGGAGAACTTTGAGGGGGGGGCAGTCACAGAAGCTCCCCAGTTCTCAGACCCTGGCCTGAGCTAAGCCAACAGACTTGAGCCTGTCATTGTCTGTGAGCACTGAAGGGCATGCCAAAGAATGTGTCCAGCACCTATGTTTAGAATTGTCACTACCGTCACATGGGTCAGGTGCGGCAGCCCCGGGGGCTCCCGGGACACGTGCTTCAGCTGGCACCTCATCACAGCCCCAGGCGAGAGCTTGACTGTGGTGCCACCGCAGCCGTGGAATTCTCCATCCCGCTTCCCACCACCCAAGAGCTCAGCCCTGAGCTCCAAAGGCAGGACAGGACCAACCCCAAATCCCAGCTTTTGTGAGTCTGTCTCCTGGAACACTCCAGATGCCAGTGCTGTATGAGCGCGGATCCAGTCAGGAGAGAAACACCCCACAGTAAATTGAGCAGGTGAAGTTTAATGTAAAGAATTATTGACTTGAATGGCAAATTGAAATAACAGGGACTCATTGGTAAGGTGCCTCGGCATTTACTGGAGGTCCCCCAGGTGGGGTGCCGTGGAGAGTCATTTGCAGGGAGGTGCCTCAGTGGAGGCACAGCTCTGAAGCTGCCGGCGGGGGTGGCGGGGTGGGTAGGGGAAGCTGCTGACCACTGAGCACTCAGGGCAGGGAGCCAGACCAAAGAGTGAGCACACCACCGTCGTCAGGAACCAGGAAGCAAAAGCCTCTCCTCCTGGAACCTCTAGGGCACCCTCTACTGACAAACCTCTTCGTGCCACTTAGCAAAGGCCCAGGTCAGTTTTCACGGAGCAAACGAGAACGCTGAATTTGGAGCCAATACGTGGGTAAGCGGCAACACTGTGGGACCTGGGGCGCTCCCGGCATCTCGTGAGTGCAGGCCAGGGATGCCGTAGCCTGCGGTGAGCTGAGCGGTGTCACACCCCGAAGACCCGTCCCCTAGCGTGCCAGCAGCGCCCCCGTGTCAGCCAGATCCGGGCAGGAAGCAGCAGCACACTCAAATAAAGATACTTGGAGAGTCTCTGGACACAAGAGCAGAGTCTCTTACGTGCTAGTGGGCAGGTGTGGGGAAACCGTGGGGGGAGCACAGCTCCTGGGGCTGGTAACCCTCCCCCAGGCCTGAAGAGGCAGGAGGAGGCGACTGTTGGTTGGAACCCAGGAGAGAAGCCTGTGGACAGAGCCTCCTGACAGGAGACAGGAGCTGTGACCTTTCCCCCCAGGATGCAGCCAGCCAGAGCCCAACCCCCACACCGAGTGAACCCGACGGAAGCCAGAAGTATGGGGAACCGTGGGACACTCCGCCGGGTCCCGCTGAGATCCAGCCTGACGGTGGCTGGCCGAGGGCTAGGCAGGGGTGGGGCCGGCTGTGTCCCGAGGCTGCTCCTCTGGCCCCAGCTTGAGGCCCTGGGCCCAGTCGGCCCCCAGGACCTCGCAACTAGGAAGCATCTCTTCCACCAGGATCCGAGTGAGGCCCGGACTGGACACGGCAGGGAGGTCCGAGATGTCCAGTCTGCGGAGGTTCCTGAGAGGAGGCACCAAGGGGGAGGCCCGCGTCAGGATGGCCTCTGTGTGGGGGAGGGGGTGTGCCAGCCCCCACTTCAGCCCCCAGCTCCTTAACAGTAAAGTCCTCCAGGGTCCAGAAAACGTTAGAGCGGCTCAAGTACACGACACCCACCACGTTAATCCCGGACGCACACTCTAGCTCCTACTGTTTACAACAGTGCAAATGTCACGGGGTCTTCGTTGAAACCAAAAGGAAGAAAAACCAGGCATCCTTTCCCTCTGCCACAGATTCACCGCGACTGCTCATCTGTGCCGACCCCACACGTGCTCTGGATTAGTCGTGGCGGCAGGGACACGGGGACTGCCTGACGGGCCCCCTCCCCGCTTTCCCGCACCTGTCGGGTGGGAGCCCCCACCCTGGCTTGAGCCGCGGTCTCACCAGAGGTGGTGGAGGCAGGCGAGGCCCCGTTCAGAGACTCGGGGACAGCCGGCCAGCGAGAGCTCCTGCAGCGAGCTGGCCAGCGGGTGGAGGCGGCTGAGACACCAGTCATCCACGTGGGGGCAGCGCTGCAGCCACAGGGACTGGAGCTCCTTCAGGGCCACTGCAAGGGGGCAGGAGGGACGGCACTGAGGGCCTTTCTGGAACCCACCGCCAAAGGGAAAACACATGGCCCTGCCCGTCTCCACCGCACTCACAGAGGCTGTCCAGGCCTTGGTAGTTGATGGCACAGCCGCTGGCATCGACGGCCTCCACGGGCACCGCCTGCAACTTCAAGAAGTCCAGAGAGAAGTGGCCACGCTGATTTGGCCGGATCCACTCCCTGCCCTGAAACCTGGAAGGGGGGGAGGGGTGTCAGCAGGACACCCCCCCCCTCCCCAGGCCTCCAGAGGATGCTTCCCAGCCCCGGGCGACATGGTCCCACGGGATCTGGTGCACTCACTCTACATCAGGCCCTGAAAGTTTTCATGGGAACAAAATGAGGGGTAGATGCATAAATGACCTTTTTCTTTTTTTTTTTTAAATTTTTTTTTCAACGTTTATTTTTGAGACTCAGAGAGACAGAGCATGAACGGGGGAGGGGCAGAGAGAGAGGGAGACACAGAATCGGAAGCAGGCTCCAGGCTCCGAGCCA